TTCTCCTTTTTTTTTTTTTTTTTTTTTTTTTTTTCTGGTTGGATTTTCGTTGTTATAACAATGAAATTATCCCTTTCATGGTGTTCACCGTGCAAGCTTAGCATAATGACGTGTCCAACTGACTTTGCAGTTGTGAACGTCTACACCATCTGTTACTTTTCAGCCACTCTTTTCGCATTCCTTATTTCATATTAACTTATTCATGCATTTGTTCTTATTTGATCATGTCTTTTGATTAGTTATTAACATTTAAGTGCATATTTCTTTTAACTATTATCCTCCTCAAATTTATGGAGGATGAAAAATCTATCATTTCTAAATTCTAATCACGTTTAAAAAATTTGTTGCTGAAATTTTAATTAGTGTAATTGTAATTGATTCCTAAATATTAAATATAAGTCTCTATTTTGTATAAGAGTGTTTTTAAGATCTTTTTTTCTCAATGAGAGTTTGTAAGAATTTTTTTAATTTATTGAGTTGATTTTTATTTATTATAATTATTTATAAATTAAATATTAATATTTTTAATAAAATATAATTTATATATTTAAAATTATTTATGTATACTGATTTTAAATATGATTTATATACTTAAACATAATATTTATTTATATGTAAATTATTATAAATTTTAATTATATTATATATAAAAAATATATTTGTGTATTGCAAATGTTATAATACTAGTTTTATTGTACAACAAACATCATAAATTTTCCTCAGACAATTGGACGTAACGATTTAATTTATTTGAGGTGAGTAATTAAACAAATGAAAATGAAAATATAAAAACAAATTATTTTGAATTTGAATTAAAATGCTTCATAATATTATTCGTCTTTAGATTAATGATTAATAGTTCTTATTTTTAAATTTCGTTCAAAAATAAATTTCTGTGCCTTTGTTGTCATGATTCAAAAAGAAAAAAGAAAAAAAAACTGTTTGAAAAAAGCGGCAAATCGAGTTTTCTCCGCAAATGAAGGTAAGATATAGACAGTATTAATTACTACTATTATTATTTAAACTAGCATATTAAATTCACTCTGTGCTTCCGTATACTTTTTAAAATAAAATAAAAGTTAAAAAGTAATAATAAGAGATTGTGAACAGTTTTTGAATAATTATAATTAATTTAAAAAATAACAAAATTTAATTTAGAGATAATTTTAAAAATATTTTTTTTATAAAATGTGGACACTAAATGGAACAATTTTTTATTATTAATTATTAATAGTATAGATTAAAATTCATAAATAAATAAGAATCTTTTTAAAAATAATATTAATGTATGGTTAAAAAAAATAATTTTAATGTTATAGTCAATAAATTAAATTATTATAAAAAATTACTATTAATATTCTTATTGTTTTCTCAAATGTTTTTTCTCTTTAAATTAAAACAATTAATTATCACTAAACATCAATTAATATGAAATTGTTTCAATTTAAATAGTGATTTCAAAATTAAATATAGTGTACCACTACATTAAATACTCAAAGGAGTGATCTCAAAAATTAAATGTAGTGTACCACTATATTAAATACTCAAAGGAATAACTTTGTAGTTGACTGATTCTATTATATTGCCTTTGAGTAGAATATTGCGGGTAATAAATAGGGGTGGGCAAAAAAAACTAAACTGAACTGAACTGAACTTGTGGTGAACTGTACTATAAAAAATTGAACTGTTTGTAAAAAAAACTGAACTGAACTGTTTAAAAAAAACTGAACTGAACTGAACTGTTGTAAAGTTGAACTGTACTGAACTATAAAAACTGAACTGAATTATAAAAATTGAACTATTTTTATAAAAGAATAAAAATTAAATGTGTTTAACATGTTATGTCTTAATAGATTAGTTCGATAGTTTAATAACCAAAATTTTAGAAAAAAAGTGATTTGAAAAAAAATTGTATCAATTTTGTTGAACTTAACGGATCAATTGAGCTATGTTGAACTACTTATTTTTAGGCGTAAAATTCACTGAGTTTGTTTGACTTAATTTTATATTTTTTTCCTTTGAAAAATTTAAATAAAATGGAAAATAAAGTAAAGTTGACAAATGTGTCCTATTTTGATAGATCAATGAGTCAAAATTGTTCAATTCAAAATATCATAACAGTTTAGTGCAATTTAAATTGCAGTTCAGTTCAAGTTTTTATAGTATAGTTCAGTTCAGTTCAATGACACAAAAGAATAGTTCAGTTCAGTTCGTCTGAACTAATATTTAGTTTAGTTCAGTTCATATGAACTACTTTTAAGTTCAGTATAGTTTTTATAAGTTCAGTTCAGTTCAGTTCGTTTTGTCCACCCCTAGTAATAAATGATACTTATGGTCTATATAAAAAATTAAATGTGTATTAATGTTAAATATTACATACATATTATAAAAGGAGAGTTTAAACGATATCGATGTAACTTTTACTAAGTATTACATTATTCAATATCTTTATATTAAATGTGAATTTTGTAAATCTAACTATTGAATTATAACTTCATATCACTTTATATCAAATTTTGTTAAAATTGAACAACTTAAAGGTAATCAAAATATTTATATTTTATTATATTTTGAAATGTACATATTACATTAATTTTATTTTATAAGAATGAAGTATCAAATCATCTTGAATTAATATAACATTTTGTATATATGATTTAAGAGTAAAAAATTTTAAATCTAAAACGATTAGATTTATAAAGTTCACATTTAAAATTATTGAACGGTCAAATACTTAGTAAAAGTTAAATTGGTGTCATTTGCACGCATACACATACATATACACACACACGCACATGCACACTCACACACACACCCACACATACACAAAATTGACAATTGATAGGAGTATATATCTTATAACACACACACAAAATTGACAATTGATAGGAGTATATATCTTATAGCTTTGCTAGAATTTAGTCTCTTCAAGATCTTGAGTGCATTAAATATTTAAGGTTATCCCTCTTTGCACCATCTTATTATCAAATGAGTTTGAATCTCGATAAAAAGGTGACGTTGAGAAAAGTAATCTTAATACAATAAAATAGCTTTGCTAGAATTTAGTCTCTTCAAGATCTTGAGTGCATTAAATATTTAAGGTTATCCCTCTTTGCACCATCTTATTATCAAATGAGTTTGAATCTCGATAAAAAGGTGACGTTGAGAAAAGTAATCTTAATACAACAAATTTTTTGAAAGAGATTGATTTTCGACAAAGTTAAAAAATACTCTTGTCAATATCATAGTAAAAAAAGAAATATAACATTGTTTTTTACTATTAAATAATTAAATTTAAATTATTTATGCACCCAAAAATAAAATTTTTCCCGTTTTATGATTTATTTTTAAATTTTGATCTTCTATATTTTAATTATATCATTTAAGTCTCAAATTTTTTCTCATTTATAATCAAGTCCTCCGTCGTAATTTCATTTGGTATTCAAGTTATGTATTTGCTAATTGTTTTTTTTGTCATTCATTGTTGACATAAAAATAATAGTTTACTTGTAAGGATTGTCAATAATCAACATAACAATTAAATAAATTTTAGGTACCGTAGTTCAAATATTCAACATAACAATTAAATAAATTTTAAGTACCGTAGTTCAAATATTCAGTGTTTTTACATGGTAAATTATATTTATTTATGTTACACCATGTCTAAGTTTTCATGTTAATTAATTATGTTAAATATAAGATGAAATTAACATAAAAAATCTGGTTGTAAATAGGAAATAATAGAGGAGTCCTATTGACCCAATTTTTATAAGGATTTGTAACGACCCGCCATGGTCTCTATACTTAGTGGAATCGCATTACTACTAGTGAACTAAGAGAAATATTAAGCTGGATAACTCATACATACATGTATAAATAAGAATAAAAATAACTAAGTTTCTGGTTATAAAATAGAACACCATATATATACAGTCATCCCAAAAATAATATGACTCTAGTGCCGGTCAAGCACAGACGGAACCGTTACCCAAAATGGTAACTCTAACACGAGGATCAAACTCCATGTCTCACAGCGGTCACCCCAACTCCAAGCTAGCCCTGGCCTGCTCTCATACAAGATATGATCATCGCAGTCCATCCACATGGAAACAGAGGGTAAGCTAGAGTTCAAAAATCAATCATACAAGTATAGAACAATAATCTATACTACACAATCATCCAACTATTAATCATATTCATAGAGTCACACCATACACTCTATCCAATACTACTCATGCATAAGATACAATCCACCAATCATGAAGTCAAACACCACACTTCATCATATTAATAATCATGCAATAAATGCATCTCATGACAAATATCAATGCATATCAATCATCTAATGCGTCGTTACGCATACACCTATGTGATCTCCCTAACAACAGAGCTGTATAAGTGACATCCCATCTTACCGAAATCACCCCAACCGTTTTCACGCCCAACGCGCCCGCTCGGTCACAGCTAAACATGATATAATCCTCACTCAGGTTTACTCGAATGATGTCACTTACACAATTGGAAGTCCAGATCCACCGTCAGGTATAACACAGTTGGGTACGAGCTTACCACGACCTTGGCATGCATAACCAAGTCAATTGTGGAGTTCGCCCACCGACTATCCACAAGGATCCACGCATCTTCTCGAGTACTTGGTTAAGGGAATAACCCTCGACCTCATACCTCACTCCAACACTAGCTAAGGACTTAGAGGAGACTCACCCAACCCAGTGGCCTACCTGAGCACCACTCTCCCAAATCCAATGGCCTACCTGAACACCACTCTCATATATC